AATGAATCTACCGCTAGAACATGGTAATATAGACTGCCACACTTCTTTTTTTTTTGTGTGTGTGTTGTCATATTCGCTATACACTCAAAAAAGCATGACTGTACCGAACAGACTGTTTCGTCGGACTTTCCCCAACTCATCAGGAGGTTGAACCTGGACAGACAGTCTGCCCAGGATGGATTTCACTGATGGATAAGCACGGACTCACCACATCGCCCAGAGTTAGCGATACCCCTCAGAGAGAAAAGTGGTCGACTTTGTGTGGGTGTGTGTGGGTGTGTGTGGGTGAGAGAGAGAGAGAGAGAGAGAGAGAGAGAGAGAGAGAGAGAGAGAGAGAGAGAGAGAGTACGTCCAGTGTGTGTGTGTGTGTGTGTGAGAGAGAGAGAGAGAGAGAGAGAGAGAGAGAGAGAGTGTACTTCCATCGATCTGATCAGCAAAATCGAATGAATCTACCGCTAGCGGATGGAAATATACACAGCCACACTTGGACCCGCTCACAGCGCCCAGGCCCATGGCCCTCGACACCAAAAGCGGCAACACAGTAAGTTCCATGTGGGCCCACCCCTCGATCGTCCGTGCCTGCCCGAAACCCCGATGCGCCCATCCAACTGCGATATCATCCAGCCAGACCGGCGGGAACGGGAGGAAACGAAAAAGAACCCCGGGGGGCTAAGAAAAACCGCCCGCAATAGCGACGAGCAGCTGCGAAACGACATGATGCTGGGTCTCGCTCCACTGCTCACCAACTGTGTACCGCGCAAGCGCAGCCACTCGGGAGCGAGACCGGCCGGCGGGCAGGGCTTGAAGCGCACCGAACGAAAAGGATTGCGAACGGGCCTGGGCACACCACTCTTAAAACGGGCCCAATTTGGGACGTCGCCACGCTCGCTTAGCACGGCAACAACCTGGTTGACGTTCGACTTGCTTGCTTGCCGGCTACTGCTCCACCCCACCATGGTCGCTGCCCCCTTCCCGCCAACTGATCTATGATGGCGGAAAAACAAGGACTGCATCTTCCCATAGAGAAGGGCACGATGCATCAGTTACTATGAATACCAACGGATGCATCTTACCACTTTCTGCAGAAGATGCATTCATTCTCTTTCCTTTTGGACAAAGGTGTGGTGAAGCCCTAACTCCTCCCAGGAAAAGTTGTTCGCAGCCAGAGGCTGTGCTTACCTGGGTTGCAAGCTTTTTTTTCCTTTTCGGGAAATGTTGTGGACTTCAATAGAGGTTGGCGGGGGTGTTTTTGGGCTTTAGAGGGAGGCGGGAAGGGTGCGGTCGCGGCTAGGAGACGGACCGGTCGTTGCAGGCTTTGGGCAATCGGTCGGTTCATAAGGTCGGTCGTGGTTTTTGATGGGCGGCGACCTGTTTTTCCTTTTCGGGCGAACAGGCTTTTCGAAGGCTTTGGGCAATTGGGCAATTTTAGGCTTGGGAGTAGCAGGCTATTTCGTCACAGGCTTGCGAGTGGTCGACACGGGCTTTTCGCAGGCTTTCTCGTAGGCTTTGGGCAATCCACGACTCAGCCACCAGCAAATAGAGCACCCAGACGGTCTTGTCTTCTCTTTCTCTTTCTTGATTGGCCGTCGTTTGCGTTGCGTAGTTCGGGCTGTCAGGGGTTCAGGCGTTGTTGGAGGCCGACGAAAAAGAAAGAAAGGAAATAAGAAGAAAAAAAAAAGGGAATTTCAAATGCAGGGACGTCGGGGAAGGCCCTCACGAGGGTGGCAGTTGCAGCAGTTCTTTGAGGAATGTATCTGGCCACCATGTGTGGAAGAGTTTGCTTTTTTTTCTGTTTTGCTTTTGTTCCCGTTCGTTGTAGTGCCCTGCCAGCCAGGCAGGGCGTATTTAACGGGTGGCACGTCTCGACGCTGTAGCACCCTGTACCCGCCTTCAATCACAGAATAAGGGAGCTCTTTTTTTTTTGGGG